TGCTGAGCATAAACTACTTATGCGAATCACCTCAGGGTTTTGATAACTTACTCCGCCAGGCATCTCATTGAGTCCATGTTGCTGCCCAATGAAAATTTTCTACACGTCGCTAGATTTCCCTCATACGTTAATCGATGCTCCTGGCATAAGTAGCAAGAGCTACACGACTGAAGTAGTGAGGAGTACTCATTCGTGCGCCGGAAACCAGCAGTTTGAGGCTTTGTACTCCACAAGTCCCGCTAGGCAACTTAAGCCGTGCTTGTGTTCTCCAGTTGCCCGTCGTGGTGTTCAGAATGTTCGGGTAGTTCTGTACACACGCGCACATTCATTAGCCAGCATTTCGCGCACATAATAAGAACTGTGATGTCCGCCGTCCGGACCCCGATGTCGAAAAATGTAATTAAACCAAAGTTTTGCTTGACGCCCAGTTGGTTTGCATTACTGGCAGTAAGTGCTCGCGCATTTAGCCATTTCGACAACAGATCAGAATAAACTAGACAACATGTTCTCTCGGGTAGTTATAGTTGCACTATCTGCGCCTAATAGAAGCGGTCGGCTGTTAGTTGCGATTCTACTGGGATTGGTTTCCCAGTGACCTCTGGAGTTACTTCCACCACGTGTCCCCACATTTTCGTGTACTGTTAGTTAAATCCAGTAGGACAGTCTGTAGAGAGAAGATTCGGACGTTGGTTTCGGATAAGTGTTAACGCAAGATACTTTGTTGCACTTTTATTCTAAGGAAGACTGAAATTGCTTGTTGCTCGTCCTCGGGATTAAAGTAAGTAAAATAAGTAAGTCGGGATTACAATATCGGATGTGGAAGTGTGCGTGTTTCGACCGGACTACCTACTGTCTGACAGTACGGGTCTTCGAAGATACAATGGAATGTCGTTTCATCATTTGAAGTTGGATTAACTGGCTCGAATTCGCTGGACATAAGGCTTACTGAAGTTTCATTCTCCAGTCTACTCTGACATCTGTCAAGGACTTATCAGTAAAACTCAAATAACCTACCATTGTGTGGGACTCCGGAAGTGACTGTCCGGCAAATTTCCAGCTAAAAGTAAGGCTTATGTATCCTGCTTCTGTCCCCATGTCCGATACGATGATGCTATCGTTCTAGCAGACCTAATAACACACGGTCGGCCGTTCCAGCCGTGATTCTCTTGTCACCGGATTACTCCAGTTGATATGTTTGGTCCTGACCTTCGAAGATACCGGCAGACTAGTAGGTTGCGCCACCCAATTTATACAACAGACGCATCTTTTTAACAGCTCGATTATGTTCGGTGGCCCCACCTTCAAAGTCTGATCTACTGCCATTCGGTGTTTCAATGCTATTATTAAGTCAAGAGCAGGCAGTTGTATAGGTTTTCAACTTCCCAATGAGCGAAGAAGCTGATCCGCACGTTGCATTTAGAGTGCTCTGTCGGCAGTTCGTCTTCTTGACAGTGACATTTGTCGCTTGCAGTACTTCGGAAAAGTCATCGACTTGAAGTGAACAGCCGTTAAAAGCGCGCGGGACGGGAGCAACAGTGCGTTTTACTTCGTTTGCACACTGTGGGGGGTTCAGATTTAATAGAAGACAATGATTCGATCGACACAGAACGTTCAGTAAGCTTCTGAGTATTTTATGAGTAAGCACCTTGATTGGAAGATTAATGTACATAATTTTATCCCTGGGCAGTGGTGGTTCATGGACTAA